CAAACTAACCACACTTTTCCTTGAGCAATATAACTACACTTTTCTCTGAGTCTGTTCCCACGCCAAACTAACCATACTTTTCCTTGAGCAATATAACCACACTTTTCTCTGAGTCTGTTCCCACACCAAACTAACCACACTTTCTCTGTATCTGTTCCCACACCAAACTAACCACACTTTTCCCCCCGAATCTGTTCCCACCTCAAACTAACCACACTTTCCCTGCCCTCTCAATAATCAACCTAACCACATTTTCCTCGTGTTTTTTAGGGTTGTTTTTTTTTAAACCACGTAGTGGGTCAAGTGGCTCCAAGAAAAATCAAAACCACCACGTACACCTCTAGAAAGAACAAAGAGACCTGTCAAGTAGGAGAAGGCGTTTGGTAAATGTCTTCATACAACATGAAATGAACATTAATTATAATATTCAACAGGTCAAAGGGGGGCTCTCGTGGTCTAGAGGTTAAGGTGTTGGCCTCTCATTTAAAGGTCCCAGGTTCGAATCCGGGTAGCGACCGAAAAATTTTCTTCTCTAAAATTGTCTCCTTTCACCTCCTTTTCTGCTCTCTAGCAATGTTCTGTCGTCTGCTTTCGTCTCTTCTTTCAGCTCCCACCCCCTCACCTCCTTTGCCCTCTCCTCTGGGCTCATGACTCTTTCTGTAGCCTTTCTACTGCTACTCCTTGGCTCTTCTTACTGCTGTCTTTCAGTCACATCCCTGATCTTATGGTAGGAAAGATCTACACCAAGCCTTCTCGGGCAAGGGCGAAAAATCTTAAAGATCCCTTGGTGGTCTAAAATCAATAAGAGTAGGCTTCGGCCGCCACCTGGGCAAAATTCAAAATTTCCAACCAACTGAAAAAGTTAAATGTGTCCCACGCGCTCATATGACCTTATGCAGTTGCAAGCGCTGTAAAACACTTACCAAAAAAAAAAAAAAAAACAGGTCAAAGGGTCAAAATTCACTAAGGTCATAGGGTTAAAGAGTCAAACAGGTTATAGGGTTAAGGAGATACACAGGTACTGGGTGGACATTGCAGGAAACTAAATTGTTAAAAGTTGAAATAACAACAGGAAAATACAGTGCGGAAAAATGTAACTCATTTCCTAAGAGTACAGAAACAATCAAAAGAAGAAAAAAAATTATTATAAGGAAGCAAAATGAGAAACTGCAGAAGTGAAGTAAAAAGCTAGAGATAAAACAAGTGATGTATACCCCAAAGCAAATCTGTATTCATTTTTTTGACTGGTAGAGACATTTCCAATATCTGTAACGGAAAAGGCAAACAAAGCATTAAGGGCAGTTCTTTCCAGCATATATGATGATATATATACAGGGTGTCCAAAAAGTCGCCGACCCCCCTGAAACACACTTATTGCCGTCGAGCACCATCACATAATTTTATGACTGAAAAAATATATATATATATACTGATGATACGTCAGGACACATGTGAGTTCTTCTTTCTCCCATTTCATCAAAACTCACATCGATCCCAACCCAAATGGCCAAAAGACAACCATACATTGTATCATGCCCATATATTCCCAAAAACATTTTCTCCATGACTCACATCTGTCACTTATTCCCATGACTCACATCTGTCACTTATTCCCATGACATACATCTGTCACTTATTCCCATGACTCACATCTGTCACTTATTCCCATGACTCACATCTGTCACTTATTCCCATGATTCACATCTGTCACTTATTCCCATGACTCACATCTGTCACTTATTCCCATGACTCACATCTGTCACTTATTACCATGACTCACATTTGTCACTTATTCCCATGATTCACATCTTTCACTTATTCCCATGACACGGGACTCACATCTGTCACTTACTCCCATGACTCAAATCTTTCACTTATTCCCATGACTCACATTTGTCACTTATTCCCATGACTCCCATCTGTCACTTATTCCCATGACTCACATCTGTCACTTATTCCCATGACTCGGGACTCACATCTGTCACTTATTCCCATGACTCACATCTGTCACTTATTCCCATGACTCACATCTGTCACTTATTCCCATGACACGGGACTCACATCTGTCACTTATTCCCATGACACACATCTGTCACTTATTCCCATGACTCGGGACTCACATCTGTCACGTATTCCCATGACTCACATCTGTCACTTACTCCCATGACTCACATCTGTCACTTATTCCCATGACTCGGGGCTCACACCTGTCACTCATTAATGTGACACACATCAGTCACTTACCCTGTGACTCAAATCTGTCGTGACCTCTAGGCTCATAGATGGCCAGACACATGATGTCATTGACCACGCTCACACAGAGGGTCGCCAGGAACTGTGGAGAGAAGGCTTTGTTTAAGTAGAGGTTTTACGGCGCTCACAACTGCATAAGGTCTCATGAGCGCTAAGGAGAGAAGACTGCGTCGGGAGTGGAGAACAGATGGAGACTTTTCAAGAGATAACGGTGACAATTTACAACATTAAAAGAATCATCATGTGAACAACTGAAGGCTTTTTTACGGATACCGGTGACAATTTACAAAATTAGAATTTAGTTTTTAGTAAGAGTATTACCGCAGCTGCAACACAGTGAGGTTATATAAGTGCCGAAGATTAGAGGTCTTACAAGAGTAGCAAACACAAAAAAGGAGGAGAGATATATGTAAATGTCATATATTATCATAGATAGAGAAAATGGTGACAATGTATGAAATTTGAGCATCCACCATGAGAAGAAGTGAAAACTTACAGAGAGTTTATGGTGACAATTTATGACATCAGTGTACGGTACTCATCATGGGAACAAATATAACCTTTAGAAGGAGAATTATACAGATTATGGCGATAATTTATTACCTTCGAAGGAGACTTGTACAGATTACGATGACAATTTACTACCTTAGTGTATTCATTATTAGAACAAATATAAACATTTGAAGGAGACTTATACAGATTAAGGCGACAATGTAAGACATTTGAAGGAGACTTTTTTGGTAAGTGTTTTATGGCGCACGCAACTGCATAAGGTCATATGAACGCGCGGGGCACACCAAACATTTTCAGTTGGAAGGAAATTTTGAATTTTGCCCAGGTGGCCGCCGAAGCCTACTCTTATCTATTTATTTTTGACCACCAAGGGGTCTTTAACATGCGCAACTTGTACACGGGACCTCCAAGATTTTTCACCCTTGTCTGAGAAGGCTAGGTGTAGATCCTTCCTACAAGAAAATCAGGGGTGTGGCTGAAAGACAGTAGTAAGAAGGAGCCAAGGAGTAGCAGTAGCAGTAGAAAGGCTGCAGAAAGAGTCAGGAGCCCAGAGGAGGGGGCAAAGTAGGTGGGGGCAGAAAGTGGAGACAAAAGCAGACGACAGACCATTGCTAGAGAGCAGGAGAGGAGGTGAAAGGAGACAATTTTAGATTTGAGAAAAAAAATTTTCCGTTGCTACCCGGATTCGAACCCGGGACCTTTGAATGAGACGCAAACACCTTAACCTCTAGGCTATAGAGCCCCCGAAGGAGACTTATACAGATTATGAAGATAATGTACGACATTTTAAGGAGACTTTTAGTTTTAGTTTTAGTAAGAGTTTTACTGCACTTGCAACACAATAAGGTCCGATAAGTGCAGAAGAATAGATTACGTGTTACAAGAGAGTAACATACATAAAAAAAGAAGGAGGGGAGATAAGGACGACAAATGTTCGATAGGAAAGAAGGAGCAAACCACACCAGTGCACCCGCCAACCACCCGCGAAGGAGATTTTTATATAACATATAAAACATATTTTAAAGGAGACTTTTATACAGATTATGATGACAATGTACGACATTTGAAGGAAACTTTTATACAGATTATGATGACAATGTACGACATTTGAAGGAGACTTTTATACAGATTATGATGACAATGTACGACATTTGAAGAAAACTTTTATACAGATTATGATGACAATGTACGACATTTGAAGGAGACTTTTATACAGATTACGCTGACAATATACAAAATTTTAGTTTTTTAGTTTTAGTAAGAGTTTTACGGCACTCGAAACTGCATAAGGTCATATGAGCGCCAGAAGATTAGAGGTGTTACAAGAGAGTAACAAACACAAAAAAAAGAAGGAGGGCAGATAGAGACGATAGATTTTTTATTGGAAAGAAGGAGCAAACCACACTACAGCACCCGCCAACCTCCCACGTACGACATTTGAAGGAGACATATACAGATTACAGAGACAATATACGACATTTGAAGGAGACTTTTACACAGATTATGGTGACAATATACGCGCTCCAAGCACCCACCATGAGAACAGCATCCACGCTCTCCTCCGCGACCATGGCCCAGAAGCCAAAGGCCAACACAGCGACGTGCGTGTACCAGTACGTGCTCACGGCTAGAAAACCGCTCATCAGTGCCCTGTTCAACAGTTCAACATTTTACCAGTTCAACAATTCGACATTTAGTATCATGTGTACAATCTCTGTGTCTGTGCCCTGTTCAACAATTCAACAATTCGACATTTACTATCAATCATTTGTACAATGTGTCATCTGTGCCCTGTTCAACAATTCAACATTTACTATCATGTGTACAATCTCAGTGTCTGTGCCCTGTTCAACAGTTCAACATTTTACCAGTTTAACAATTCAACATTTACTATCATGTGTACAATATGTCCTCTGTGCCCATGTTCAACAATTCAACATTTACTATCATGTGTACAATCTGTCCTCTGTGCCATGTTCAACAATTCAACATTTACTATCATGTGTACAATAAGTCCTCTGTTCCCTGTTCAACAGTTCAACATTTACTATCATGTGTACAATAAGTCCTCTGTGCCCTGTTCAACAGTTCAACATTTACTATCATGAACAATCTCTGCGTCTGTGCCCTGTTCAACACTTATCATACACAATCGATGTTATCTACGCGATGTTCAACGGTTCAACAATTCAACATTTACTATCTCTCTCCTGTAAAATATTGCTTTCTGGGCTGGGAACATTGGTGACATGACCGTTACAAGCAACAGTCTTAACTTTTAAGCTTTCGATGAACAGTGACAAAATATACATTCTATTATACAAACTCACCATGACGACAGAATAAAGTGGGTCATCCATACAATCTATGAGGAGGGAAACAGGAAAATGTGCAAAGTGAGTCTGAGATAATGTAACGTAAGAACTAGTATGACATCATCAGTGTATGAGCCTTAAAAGGTGTAACAAATTAATGTAATAAACTCAGTCTACGGTAGTATGAATGAATGAGTCTTAAATGATGTAATAAATGAGGTATCATCAGTGTATGAGTCTTAAAAGGTGTAATAAATTAATGTAATAAACGCAGTCTATGGTATTATGAATGAATGAGTCTTAAATGATGTAATAAATGAGGTATCATCAGTGTATGAGCCTTAAAAGGTGTAATAAATTAATGTAATAAACGCAGTCTATGGTATTATGAATGAATGAGTCTTAAATGATGTAATAAATGAGGTATCATCAGTGTATGAGTCTTAAAAGGTGTAATAAATTAATGTAATAAACGCAGTCTATGGTAGTATGAGTGCGTGAGTCTTAAATGGTGTAATAAATTAATGTAATAGATACAGTCTATGATATTATGAATGCATGAGTCTTAAATGATGTAATAAATGTGGCATCATCAGTGTATGAGTCTTAAATAACGTAATAAGTATGATATTGTCAGCGTAAGAGTCATAAATAATGTAATAAATAGGATATTATTATATAAGTCTGAAATGATGTAATAAATAGGATACCGTGTGTGTATGAGTCTTAAATAATGTAATATAAGATATCATCAATGTATATAATATATATATAGATGATGTCATATTTATTACATTATTTATATATTATCTATATTATATATATTATTCATATATGAGTCTTAAATAATGTACCGGTAATAAATATATGATATGTGTCACAATGTGGAGGAATCAGGCGCTCGTCAATTTTTGGGCATATGGAGTTATTGGTGTCATCGTAAAGCCTGTTCATTTGCCTTCCTTTTGGCGAAATAATATCCATCTATCTTGAATAGAAGTCAAGATATTTGTAATTGAAGGAGGTGTGGGTCACCTGATTTCAGAGGTAATATTAGTGAAAAAATGGTTGCCAGAGTTTGATAACCTCAACAGCTTGAAAGCCTTTAAAAACGGGAAAATATACATATTTTGTGCGTTTTATCAACGTTTTTCAGTAGAGTTCACATGGTAACATATTTTTATGTGGACATAAAAGGTGTAAAGCACACCCAAAAAAATTTGATAAAAATTGCCAAACTGGAGGAAAATGACAGGTTCTCCAATTCCATTATTTTGACGAGCGCCTGATTTCACTACGATGCCTCACATATGTGGTTTGAGACTTAAATAATGTAATAAATATGATATCATCAGTGTATGCGCCTCTTAAATAATGAATAATGTAATAAATATGACATCATGAGTGTTTGAGTCTTAAATTTATCAAATGTAATAAATATATCATGAGTGTTTGAGTCTTAAATAATGTAATAAATATAGTCTCTGATACTATAAGTGTAAGAGTCTAAAATGATGTAATAAATAATATATCATGAGTGCATGAGTCATAAATATAGTAATAAATATAGTCTATGATATCATGAGTGTACGAGTCTAAAATGATGTAATAAATATAGTCTCTGATATCATGAGCGTATGAGTCTTAAAAATGTATAATAAATGTAGTCTATGGTACTATAAGTGTATTAGTCTTAAATGATGTAATAAATATGATATTATGTGTGTAAGTCTTAAATAATGTATTAAATATATAATATCATGAGTCCTAAATAATGTAATAAATGTAGTCTGTGATATCATGAGCGTGTGAGTCTTAAATATTGTAATAAATATAGTAATATGATATCATGAGTGTATGAGCCTTAAATAATGTAATAAATATAGTCTATGACATCATGAGTGTATGAGTCTTAAATAATGTAATAAATATAGTCTATGACATCATGAGTGTATGAGTCTTAAATGGTCACTTTTAAGGACAAGCGGGCATGGCCAGGTTTCAGGGGTTTCCAGAAATCTTGACCTACACCAAAAGTGGGCATTGCCCTACCTATAGGAGAAGTTTGGTTTCATTGGTGAGTATATTTGTTTGGCCTTGTCTTTTAATTAAAGAAACTGAACAAGAGGCAAAGCTTTACCTTCGATTTTCTCAAAACAGCATTTTTTCGAGAAAGCCCCCTCATGCTTAAAAGCGACCAAATAATGTAATAAATATGATAATATCAAGAGTGTATGAGTCTTAAATAATATCATTAATATGATATTATGAGTGTGTTTTTGTCATACTGTCTGTACTAACAATGCCAAGTTTTGTCCTAGATCTACCCTCTGCACAGACATTGTAATGCCCATATGTTCATCAGTATAATGTCATGAAGGATTTGAACTTTGAACCATTTTGTGTACCCGTTGTCATTGAGCCCCATAAAGTCATTTTAATCCAATTCTCTCTCTTTCTTCTTCCCTTCCCCTCTCTTCT